CGTTTGCAACAAGACAATGATCCTAAGCACACTTCAAGTGTTGCGAAGGAATTCTTTGCCCAAAATAAAATTCGGGTTGTAGAGTGGCCATCCAATAGCCCCGATTTAAACCCTATTGAAAATGCTTGGAATATCATAAAAAATAATGTTGAAAAGCATATGCCACAAAATATTGACGAGTTAAAACAATTTATGGTCGAGGAATGGGAAAAATCCCTCAAGTGACGATCAAAAATCTAATTAATTCTACGTATGAAAAATAGATGTGAACTAATTTTAGAAAATAACGGAGATAGAATTGGATATTGAATTTTTTTTATCTAATAAAATACACTATGAACTCTTAAATAAATCAAGTTACAGGTAATTATCGAGATATGTAACTTTTTGTCACTGCCATTATTTTCGTTACACACTGTAAATATATTTGGATTATACAGAAGCTTTGTTGAAATTTGTTTTCATGTTTTCATGTCTGTTCATAATTCAACAGCAAATATCATTAAGTCGCGTGATTTTAAAAAACTTTTTTTACATCTGTATTTTAGGGCGTAAGAAATATCTTAATATAAAAGAATTATAATCAAACTGTTCCATCGCTTATTAAAAATACCAATACAGATGATTTTTAAAATATATTATTATATTAAATAAATGTTCAATTTCTTTTGCAAACGAATAACGGTTACTAGTTCATAACAATAATATTAGTATTAGGATTAGTCATCTAAATTTCACAAGCAGAATGCTATCAGTTACTTCTATGGCATGTAGGCCCGATTTCAGCTAAATAAAGTGATCTGAAATATCACAAATAAAAAAGCCACTTTAAAAAACATCCAACCTCTTTATTATTATTGCCAATGGACATTTTCGATCGCAAGAAGTTCTCTCTAATAAAAATCAACCAATATTTGGCCCAGATACCGATATTATATTTGAAAGCCATATATTTGGATTTAAAATAATGTTAGTTCAACATATAAATAAAAAATAATGATTTTTTGAAGTTACTCCAGAAGTTTTCTCTTCAATAAAAAAAGGATTCCAAGCTCTAAGAGTATCACCAAATATTTATCAATATCACCGTCCAAAGAATAAAAGAATAAATTTTCATAGCACATATCCAAAAGCCATAATTTTACAAATTGGCGAAGATTAGAAATTTTAATTTACATATACATGTCAGCAAAATATTCTCAAAGGTTCATTCCCAAGCACTCCCAGATAAAACTTTTTCTGAATGGGCCTTCCAACTATTATTAAAACTAATAAATGAATTATTGTGTAAATATACATATTATTGATATTTGGTAATATTAATATTTGTCTATATTGTATTTGCATATTTACGTCTAAAGAAATTTTCGAAATAAAAAAAATTTTTTTTTTATCGCTTTATGACAAGTTGATTTCGTCACTTGTAAACTTTTTTTTATAAATGTGTATTAATTTTAATTATCGGAGAAGAAAAGAATGGAAGCCTTTTCTTTTAATCTTTGATGCATTATTATCCGATGAAAACATTTGCCCAAGAGGCACACCTATCAAGAGCGACATGTACATGCCAGGAGAAAATATCTGCGAGCTTAAAGCAATTGAAGTGGACGGAGAGTTATACCTTGTGTTTTGTGAGAACAGTCAATGAAAAGGGGGAATTGAATTCTTGATGTATAATAACAAAACAACTAAATAATGCATAAATAAATAGTTAAAGGAAAGTGGCCTTTACAATCTAACAAAAAAGGTTTCTGTTTATAAAATCAGAAGAAAAAACATTCTTGCCCTTGCTTACGACAAATGTGTTTTACAATTAAAGGAATCGCTTTCAAAATAATTTATTTATCAATCAAAGGTGCATTTAAATGGATGGTTGAGGTTTTAATGATAAAAACCGGAGAGCATTGGAATTAAATGTTTTTATAGGATAAATCTTTTATTTAAAAAAATTTATTGTTATAAATAAAATTACAGCAAATATATAAAATATATAATGATACATATATTTATTTAATACATTCCCTAATCAAAAAAAATTTTTCAAAAATTTAAATAAATGATTTTATGTTAAGTTATATATGAAATAATATAAAATGATAATAATCATACCTCAAATCTTTCGGGTAATAAAACTGGCGCAAGAAGTGACCAAAAATATAACAACAAACAAATCCAACTACAAACAACTTTGACCCAAACAGATATAAGGCTTCTGCCAATTATAACCAATTCGTCTGATCCGGTAATTTGAATAGTATTCCTTTATTATTTAATATATATGTTAGGAAAATTTTTTAAAAATCGATAAATTATTATTATTTACAACTAAATAATCATAAAATAGTAAATCATTACATACCAATTTGTTAAAAGCATTGCAACATACATTGCAGCTATGGCAAAAATGAAATGGAAAAAGGTATAGTTGTAGGCAACACCATCCTTTTCATCATCATTTCCATTGTCATCATCGTCATCATCATCTAATGCTGAAGCTGGTAATGAACTTTTTACAAATATAAATATAAAATATTTATAAATAAACAAATAATAATAATAATAATAATAATAATCAATCAATCAATCAATCAATCAATCAATCAATCAATCAATCAATCAATGATTTTGATTAAAAAAAAAATAGCATACCCATTTTCAACAGCAGCCAATAGTGAACCAGATCGTGTTCCGGAAGTAATATCTTTTGGCTGGTTAGTAACCAGTGGTACAGAAATTACAGTATTAACAATCAGATTTAGCAGTTAATAATGCCTTACCTTGTGTAGCTGCCCTCGATGTAGAATAAGCAATTGCCATAAAAGTGAACAAAGCTCCAATAACCACAGTGGTGACTCTGGTTCCATTTGCAGTATCTAATAAAGGATTACAAACTGGTGCATTATCACCACTACTATCAATATTATTACCATTGCCATCATCATCATCATCGTGATGAGGTTCATTGGCTACTGCACTTAAAATAAGGTATGTACAATAAAAAGCCACCATTGATGCTTGTGAAAGACCTGATCGAGAATTTTCTTCTTGGATTACAGGATGAATAGATAAAATTGTACTAATAAGACACAAAATCAGATTAAAAGTTATAAAGAATTGGTTGGTGTGACATCCTGATCCTCCAAAAAACTTGTACATAATACCAGTGAGTGCAATTGAACCAATAAACAATGAAAGAGTTGATCCAATTAATAAATATTTCCAAAACTCGCTCTCCTCATCTTGCCATTTTTCAATGCATTTTTCACTCCAGGTATGTACACAATCTATCAAAATTACCAAACCAATGAGAATAAAAATTGCAGCCCCAATCAATGAGATTGAATTACCCCAAAACATAAAAAATTCATTTGGAATAAAAAAACTAATGACTAGAAGAAGTATCCAAAACAATATTTTTGGTCCCCACCATCTAAATATAAAAAATTGTTATTATTATTATTATTCAAATATTTTCAAATATCTTCTTTTAATAAAAAAATTTATACCCATTCTGAATAGAAGATCTTTTATCACGAGTGCTATTAACTTTAAATACCAATAACCCTAGAATTAAATGGAAAAGTGAAAGCGCAAAACATATACGATGTACCTAATCAATTAAAAAAATCAATTATATGTATAGATATTTAAAATATAATAACATAATAATATAATGACATAATAATATAATAATAATTACAGCAAGAACACCATAACAAGTTTCCTCAGGACAATTTAAATGCAGATGTGTTATTTTTTCTAATTGTTTAATTGCCCAATCTGATAACATTAGCCATGCAAGCTAAAAAACAACAATTATTATTATTATTATCATTCGTCTAAATTAATTGTCCACAGTATATTTGTTTGTAACTTACTATTGAATTCAATAAAAATATAATCTAAAATAAGAGAAAACTTTATTAACACATAATGCTCATAAAAGTATATATAGCATATATTTCCAAAAATATATATATTATTATAACTTACGGCATAACCAACTCTTGTAGCTATCGAGTTATTACAATTACATGATTTGCAAGCTAAATTACAAGCTGCAGCAGAAAAACAAGAAATCGCAGTAGAAACTATCCAAGATCCTGCACTAAAACCAAGGCAACTAAAGCCAAGACCCATTTTGTTTAGAATTACAAAATAAACAAAGGAACAAAGGAAAATTTTGATTTATGGTGATCTTTATTAAATCAAATAACTTCAGCAGATTTTATAACGCCTTGTGTCAAAAATCTGGCCATTGTTCTTTGTAATTTTTAATATTATGAATTGAAATTTTTTAATATATAGCAATCTTATGAATTTGTCTTTTTTTCATACTATTTAAGTAACAATCATATCACAAAACAATACCAATTAATTAACAAATATTAATTCGTACATAGGGAAATATATTAAATTTTATTTTTAATCTCTGCTAAATAATACCAGATCAATAACATCAAATGCATTTGTGTTTTTATCATTGTATTATGTATATACAGAAAACTTTTAATCCAAGTTTACTTCTAGTGGCAATCATAGAATTGGATAATGTACTAATGTTATGGAAATTTATGGAGTATTGACAAGATTTTTGGTGATTTGTTTATTACGATAATTAATTCGTTTTTATATATGATTTCGGGATATGATCCTGTAAATATTGCTGTGATCATTATTCTAACGTTTTTATCGTTTGTAAATAAATCATTTTTTCATAATAAATGAATAACGTTAACGGTTAGTTATTTATGAATTTGACAAATCCAATGTCAACCAGTAAACTCCATTAAATTTTTTTAAAAAAATCACCGATTTCATAACATAAGCTTGTACATCAGAATTGGAATCATTGAATCTGTTTTCAGCTTTGTCAGCCTCTGATTCTCTACCGAATGGTATAGAAAATGGACTTTTACAATTTAGTATTGATGCAATTGTTGTTAATATTGATCCAAACAACACAATGTGATAGATGTGAAGTCTCAATTTAACGGATTGAGTAATAAATTCCCTCGATATAATGGATTTTACCGATTATAATTAAATCACGGTATAACGGATTTGACCAACTGTAAATTAAAATTTGTCGAATATGCTACAACTGATCTTTCCATTTCTAAAATGGATAATTTAATAAATAAATTATACAACTCATTAAACTCATTAAATGAATTATACAACATAGTAAACACACTGTATGATAAACCAAATGATTATACTCTAGGCATTTGTAG